AATTAAATTATGATTAAGACGTCGATTAAGATTACCCGATATTGCTAATGCTGGCCTAATTTGACGTAATTGACGATGAATATTAATTGCTGTAAGTAAACATAATAAACTCATACAAATAGATGGAGAGAAACAATAGATAACTAAATAAAATATTCTCCAAAATGAATCATAAATTCCCTGTTGAGGATAACATATTACATTTGATTCATTTGATTGAATTTCAAAAAATACCGGCATATGCAAGTAAAGAATAGCAGCTAGAATAATTGCTCCACAAATACAACGTTTTGCTATTTTTTTATTATTCCAAGAACGATGTATTATTGATGATGAACTCGAACAATATCGATCAAAACAAGCTAATATAAAAAGATAAGGTGATAAAGATAAAGCCATATAACCAAAATAAGCTCTTAATTTACAAACGATTGGTGATAAAGATCCAATATCAATAGAGAATCCATCAATAAGAAGTCTATGGAGCACTGATAAATAAATTGCTAGAATATTGTCAATTGAAGCAGCAATAAAATATAATGTACATGATGAATGTAAAAGTTTTCGACGAGTAAAGATAAATAAATCAAGAATATTACCTATTGTTCCGAAAACCATCAATAAAATCAAAACACTTCTTGTTAATTGTACAGCAATATCCGGCAACATGTTTAATAAACTAAATACATAAGATTCTTTATGGTATGTTAAAAAATATGAAAATGATAATAAATAATATCTAGCTTCGCTTTAATAACTCCTTTCCGAAAAGAAAAAAAGATTTTTTCACCTTTCTTTACAGAAAACTTAAACATCTTATCTTTTTTTCTGATTTAATCTTAGTGGCAAAATTGAAGCACAACTTATTATGAAGTGTTATAGAGAAACAGCAAAACAGTTTGATGAAAAAGTAGGTTAATTTATTGATTTTTGACACATGAATTATTAATTAGTGAAGTGAATGGTGCTTGTAACATTCTTTGATAAAAATCTTCTTCTGTTGACAATTTCTATTCATTAAATATCACGAATAACAATAGAAAGCAGGTGTGCCGAACAATACAAAAATAAATGGTAAATTATTTATGCTGACGAAGATCGAAAAGTATTTTAGAAAGAAAGGATGATCACTCACAGTGTTCCTCCATCCGTCTAAATTCAAAAGTGAGCGTCTGAAGAGGCACCTCTGAAAAAAAGAGAGAACTGTACAGCTACATTTCTAGGTATAGAGGAGACTTTCAAGGTTTTTTTTTTTTTACAAAGTTAAAGTTCATAGATAATTCAACACATGAAAATTTTTTATTGTTAATCTTTGAAACATAAAAGATAGGAGTTCCTGTTAAATTGTTTGAATTTTTTATGTTATTCTAGATTTTTCACCATCCAAATATCAGTGTCTTATCTTATAAATATTAGTGTGACATTATTTGAATAAGAGAGATAAATAGAAAACACGGAATTTTCATTATTGCATCTAAAAGGACGGGAGAGGAGACATTAGGACCGATTTTGCATAACTTAATTTTGTAATATCTCAGTAGATAAAAATGAACGTATCTCCAAAACTTCAGTGCTAGTAAAGTACGTGATCAGCCACAAGAAAATTTATAATTTATTCGCGACAAGGTTTAAGCACATGTTCGGAGTTGAGATTTTTTTTGTATGTGAAAATGGTCATGTTTTAACTGATGTTAGCTAACTATCGATCGACTACTTAGTCGAAAAAATTCATTCCTACTTCCGCTTAGAGTTCAATCACAGAAGAAAGTTGATCATAATGCCATCTTCAATGCGTAGTCATCTGCCTTTTTATGCTGTGCTATGATTTTACAAGATCCATTTTTTTTTCAACTATTCGAATGAAATTTTGATTGACTGAACCGTTCAGAAAGTCAGAGGTCAATATTTCGACGAAAATAAAAGTTGTCCGAACAATGTAAAACACATATAGATTGACCCCATTTTGATGTTGACTTCAAATATGTCATATTTTGACTAGAAAAATAATTACCGTGACAATAATTAGCAAATTCTACTCGAAAAATAGATACTTTCACATATCTAAAAAGAATGATCTCAACACCGAAAATATAGCTAAAATTTTGTAGTACGTCATGTATCTTAATGACACTGAAACTTTGGCAATATGTTCACTTCTATTTCAAAAGAAAATTAAGTGAGCCGAAACAGGTTCTTACATGCTCTTATCCTGTTTATTTTCAGAAAAACTTCTAGCGTTTAACTTTATGAGTCAAAACTGAAAAGCTTCCTCTATTATCAGAAAAAAATAAACCTAATTTAATTTAATCGCAATAGAAATGTCTAGATTTCTTGTTGGTGGATAACTTCTCAACCTTTTTCTTACTACTCTAGGTATAACAGACGTTAAGACGTCTATTTTTATTAGCTGGTGAGTCGATACAAGAATAAATTTTGAATAAAGATCAATCGCTTTATTTTCATATAGATTTAATTCATAATTCGTATTTCTATTTCCGTTACATAAAATGTTTATTTCATAATAGAAAAAAAAGAAACAAGTATTTAATAGATCTTAATTCACATATTTATATTCGACATATATTTCTATATTCTCTAAACATGTCCAATATAGTTTTGATTTTTTTAATATTCATTTACAAATTGCGAATAATGGAAGTGTTAAAATTCTTAAAAAGAAACATTGATAATAGCAAATGGTAATATACATAAAATTTGTGTTAAAAAAATGTGAAAATAAGATTCGAATCAAATTATGATCCAAACATCGATGAAGATCGCCTACATTTGCTAATGTTGGTCTAATTTGACGTGATTAGCGACGAATATTAATCGCTATAAGTAAACATAATAAACTCATACAAATAGATGGAGAGAAACAATAGATAACTAAATAAAATATTCTCCAAAATGTATCATAAATTCTTTGTTGAGGATAACATATTACATTTGATCCATTTGATTGAATTTCAAAAAAATATTGGCATATGTAATATTATCGATGGTGAACTCGAACAATATCGATAAAAACAAGCTAATATAAAAAGATAAGGCGATAAAGATAAAGTTATATAACCAAAATAAGATCTTAATTTACATAAAATTGGTGATAAAGATCCAACATCAATAGAAAATCCATCAATAAGAAATCTAATACTGTATATTAAGCTTCAAGAAATTTTCTGTCTATGTAGTCTGATAGAGAAAAGAATGCTCTATTTTTCTATGCTATTCGATCATACTTCAATTAATATTAGAATAATAAAATTTCGATAAGATCTGTTTCGTTACCATATGTGCTGATTGTATTAATATTCATTTGAAAAAATACGACTGAGTATTTTTTGAATAACTTTTGATAGAAACAAGATAAAGAACTGTGGTTTCAACCGTTGGAAAGACGAAATGAAGACGCGTCGAATCATGCATTATAGATTGTCATAATCTATTTCTTGTAAGGTTTTCAATTGACCTTCTAAGAACAAACATATCTGGTAAGTTGTTTACAGTGAATTTTCAATTATCAAGTGTAAATTCAACCCACTAATCGAAAATCTACAAAGTGCAGAAGGCTGAGATGAATAATATTCATTCTAGTGGGGCTTCTAGCACGATTTTCGAGCAAAATCTGCGGAACAAGCTCACTTTTGGAGTTTTTCCCTGTTTTCATGAATAAAACATTTTCTCGACGTTTATAAAATTGAATAAAAATACTTCAGAAATGAATATTGGAAAAACCTATAGTATATGATTCGATACATATTCATTTCCTCTTTCCAACGGTGAAAACCGCAGCAGCTCTCTATCTTGTCTCTATCAAAAATTATTCAAAAAACAAAATATTTACTAGCGTTCATGGAACCGTGACGTACGTGAACAAAACAGATCTTATCAAAGTTTTATTATTCTGATATTAGTTGAAGTATGATCACATAGGATAGAAAACTAGAGTATTCTTTTCTCTATCAAACTACATAGAAAGAAAATTCCTTGAAGCTTAATATACAGTATTAAAGTGTCACTGTCCGTACTTTTGGTATGCTCTCAGTAATTTGTTATTATTTTCATTCCAATAACATTCTAGATTTCATAGGTGTTTTTCTATGAGCTGGTTGTGGGAAAAGTACGAAGCATTTTTACTTCTGTATAATCGAGAAAATATCTCATTTAAAATTCGAGAACGTCTCAACTCGTCACGTGACGAGTTGAACAAACAGCAAAAATCAGACCTTTCGTAACACCAAAAATAGGGATATCCAAAAATACAGGGATGTCGTAACGAAATTTACAGGGAGATCGTAACGATTAATACAGGGTGTTCGTAACAGTTGCAGAGCTTTCGCAACGAAGCAACAGGGATTTCGTAATGAGGATGAGGATGATAGCTGGGCTTAGTTTGCGGAAATGACATGCTTTTCGTTACGAAAGCTCTGTAATGGTACATATTAAAACACCAATTACGATCACCCTGTAAAATATGTTACGAAACCCCTGATTTTTTGTTACGAAAGCCCTGATTTTGTCGTTACGAAAGCTCTGTCACGGGCTTTCGTACTGTCAATTCGTTACGAAAACCAGACAAGAAAAAACGTGACGAGTTGACACATTCCCTAAAATTCAGCTGATATCGACAGAAGTATCCACTAGTCGAAAGTGTGAAATTCAATAGCAACTGAAGTGGTATTCGAAGGAATTTAATGCATTGTACCATGAGGTAGCTTGAAACACTGTCACATGCTGTTTTCCTGACGGGCTAATCAAAGATGGCACATACAATTCCGATATGTATGTTTCAAACACGGCATTCCACTTGGTTTTCTTGAGTTTTTGATTTCTGAACAATGAGTTTATCTCATTTTATTTTGTGCATTTTGATGTTGCACATGATAAAATAAATTTTCGCCTGACGTATTCCAGTATCGTTTTTTTTTCAAATAATGAATCTTCATCACCTATTCGAAATATATTAAGTTGACAATTTTTTTAATTTTTCATGTAAATTAACCAATATCTTTTTGATAATCCCATTGATATGAAATTATTATTTTTGGATGAGTAACAACAAGTGGTATATCATCTTCAATTGTAGTTCTATCTTTACCATTATTTGCTGCTTGTGATTGAAGAAAGATTAAATTATCAACATATGATACAAACCAATCTATCTTTTGTCCCCAAAATCGTCAATAAAATCAAAACAATTCTTGTAAAACGTACAGCAATATCAAGTAACATATTCAATGAGTCAAAAGGAATGAGATTGTATGTAACATGTCGAAAATATAAAAATGATAGTAAAATATATAGCTCTGTTTTAATAATTCTCTTCTTGAAAGAAACAAAGTTTTTTTTCTCTTTTTTTATTACAGAAAACGAAAGAGTCTTGTTTTCTTCTGATATTCTTTAAATACAACATTGAAGCATAAATTATTATAGAGTATTACAAATAAATAGACACGGTCTAGCTGAAAACTACACTAATATATATCTGTATAGTTTTTGACCTGTACATCAAAACTACTTTTGAATTGTATTTTACAAAAGCTACAGCAAAACGTCTTCAAGAGGATCCAGGATTGAAGTCTTTGTTGTTTCTCTATCGTGTAAGCTTTAACTTTATATATAAAAGCTTTGAACTCTCATTCATCACAGTGTCATGCAACTTAGTTCGGCTTGGAGCATGACTTCGTGTACAAACATGACTAGTTACTTAGGATGTCAGGCATTAAAAAAAAGTGTAAGTTGAAGTCCAAGTATGACATTATACTTTGATTCGACTCGACAATTAATGAAATCTTGACACGCCAACATATTTTTACTGTTTCTAACTGTTTATTTATATAAAAGGACAGGAGCGAAAACTTATATTGTTTTAGTAAAAGATTTCACTTTTCATGAAAACTCATCTACGGTTGATGATGAACAATGTAATAACGTGAATGCATGCATGAAGATAAAAGATGAATTATCAAAAAGGTGAACATATATTATCGTGATAGAAAAAGCATTGATCTATATATTCACAATTATAACATTTGGCACTGATATTGAGTTCTATTACAGGGTGACCAGCAACACGTAATAATATACTTGGAAAAATAGATTGGATTGCAGCAACAGAATGATAGGAACTTAATTCTGAATCACTTGATTAACTTGTCTTTTTGTGAAATTTCAGATGATTTCTTTTTTTTCATTACTGTTTATGGAAGAAAGTGAATAATACACTTTTTTATATCAAATAAAACTTTGAACATCATAGTGTGACTATGAAAATACCTGTCCGATGGTGATCAACTTTGGGTCAAACCCGATTGCGGAAAGTCGTACCTGTGCAGATCACTAATCTATTACCAGACGAAGCTACTTGATTTGGTTTCATCGTAGTGGACATGCCTCAGTTTCTTCTTGGTGCATGACTTTCGGAACAATCTGTAGGTTATATTAATAGCAAAAGATACTTCTCAAACTCTTTGTTACTACTCTTCATACAAGATGCATAAAAATAACCATTGTCAACTGACTACTGTATAGACTATAATGAAACAACATGCCGAATTTATCGATTCAAACTTCTATCTTTTTTTAATGATACAATGAGCCAATAGAAGAATATAGTTTGAATAGAAACTAATTGTTTTATTTCTTTATAGCTTTCAAATCATAGTCTGTATTTCTATTTCTTATTGAAATGTTTATTTTACAAAACAGAGATTTTAGTTCGATTACTTAGATTTGATGTATACTTCGGTCATCTCTAAATAGTTTCCATTTACACGATGAAAATAATTTGATAAGTTCCCGTCGATAAATTCGAGATGACATTGTATTTACATAAAAATTTGTTGTATAACTTGCGAATAATGGAAGTGTCAAAATTCTTAAAAAGAAACTATATATAAGTGTATTTCTATTAATAAACATGCCAAGAAGATTAACAATAGCAAATGGTAATATGCATAAAGTTTGTGTTGAATAATGTGAAAACAATATTCGAATTAAATTACGATCCAAACGTCGATGAAGATCGCTAACATTGGCTAATGCCGGTTCAATTTGACGTGAATAATGACGAATATTTATCGCTATAAGTAAACATAATAAACTCATACACATAGATGGAAAAAAACAATAGATCACTAAATAAAATATTCTCCAAAATGAATCATATATTCCTTGTTGAGGATAACAAATTATATTTGATCCATTTGATTGAGTTTCAAAATATATAACCATATGTGAATAGAGTATTGCAACTAAAGCAATTGCTCCACAAATACATCGTTTTGCTATTTTTTTATTACTCCAAGAACGATGTATTATCGATGGTGAACTCGAACAATATCGATCAAAACAAGCTAATATAAAAAGATAAGGTGATAAAGATAAAGCCATATAACCAAAATAAGCTCTCAATTTACATATAATTGGTGATAAAGATCCAACATCAATAGAAAATCCATCAATTAGGAGTCTATAGAGTACTGCTAGATAAATTGCTAGAATATTGTCAATTGAAACAGCAATAAAATATAATGTACATGATGAACGTAAAAGTTTTGGACGAGTAAAGATAAATAAATTGAGAGTATTACCGATTGTTCCGAAAATGATCAATAAAATCAAAACACTTCTTGTTAATTGTACAGCAATATCCATCAACATGTTTAATAAATTAAATAGATAAGATTCTTTGTGATATATTGAAAAATATGAAAATGTTAGTAAAATATATTTAGTTTAGCTTTAATATCTTTCTTTCAGGAAGAAAAAAAGTTTTTTTTTTCTCTTTTTGCTTTACAGAATATCAAGGCATTTTATCTTCTTCTGATGTAATTTATAGTGACCAAGTTGAAGTACAACTTATTATGAAGTGTTGTAGAGAAACAGTCACACAGTCTAGCGAAAAACTAGGTTAATTTAGTGATTTTTGACACATGAAACATTAATTAGTGAAATAATTGATACTTGTAACACTCTTTAATAAAAGTCTTGTTCTACTGATAGCTTTAATTTATCAAATATTACGAGTAGTGCATAGTAATAGAAAGCAGATTTGCCTACAAACAGAAAGCTAGATGATATACAGACTAAGTTTATAATGCAAAGTAGTGACGAATCTTAAATTTTGAGAAAGGAAGGCAGTCATGGTCACAAAGTATGTTTTGAAGTCATAGCGACTCACGTTCAACATTTTCTGCTAATAAAAATAAAAAACAATGTTTTAGAACAAAGAGGCGATCACCAACAGTGCTTATCCTCGAAATCTGTCACTCGGCGTCTATATAATCACTTACGAAAAAGAACACATAGCATCTTCACTGATGTTACACCAAATCAAGTGGGTTTAGTTAAAATTCATAAAACACACGTGAAAATTGTAGTTGTCGAATACAATATATGAAGAATTCGTGTGTCCGGTTGTTGGAACACAAAATGTAGAGTTTCATACTGAATTGTTTAAATTTTTTTTCACTATTCTAGATTTTTCACCGCACAGGTGTCCGTTTCTTACTTGAGAAATTACTGTAAAAGTCTTACAATCATGCTAGTTTGATTAATACACTAATTATCAAAATTTTTAATCAGGATGGAATAAATCGCTTCGAAGAAACATACGAAATACTTGAGATTTTTCAAAAATGTCACACAAATATTTATTATATGATGAAAACAATGCCGGAGGAAATCCGGTCTTTTATGTTTTGAAAATCGGAAATAGAGAGTTTCCATGTGCTGAATTCGAAAGGACGTGGGTGCACAAGCATTTGTTATAATCCACTTCATTTTTTTGTCGCAGAAGAAAATAAGAATTAACAAATTTTGTATCTTTTGAGCTGGCCAATATAAGTGTATGGAAATGTTGCCACGAAGTGTTAAAATCTGAGTACTTATGTCTCTTACAAGTTTGATCATCACCATAACATTTCCTCTTGTTATGAGTTAAGAAGATCGACGCTTCTTCTAAGACGGAGTTTTGTTTTACGCACTTCTCTGTCTATTGTTACTTACGGAAATGTTTACATATGAATACGGTATACAATTTAGCATCGCAATAAGAGAGAAACTAGAGTAACGTCAGTAAAATTTCATCTAGATGAATGATAGACTATATTATGACACTTTCAATCATAGAAAGAAAAAAAGAAGAGAACAAAGAATTAAAAAGGAAGCACAAGAAATGGAAAAAGAAGAAAATGAAATATAAAAAAACAATCATACAGATGCACATGGAAGGATCTAATTAACAATATCAATCTGCTTAAGCAGCAGAGTCTAAAATCTATGTTTCAATTTTTTCGCCCTTCTTATCCAAATGAAATGATGCAGATTATCTCCTTGATTTTTGTTAAAATCGTTTCAAAGAAATACTTCATGCTAGACAAGAAACCATCCAAGATCAAATTTATACATTCCTTATACTCTTCATTCTATACATCTTTAAGTCTGAAAATCGTTAAGGTCTTCATTTGTCACAGAGAATCAATTGCGTTCTGACACATAGAGTCACCGGTACATTAGTCTCATCCTAACTCGAAACTATCATGTCAATCTTTCTTTATAAGTTTTTAGCAGAAAAGAAAAAGTCAGACGAGACATGGAAAAGTATAGGCAAAAAAAACATGCACGCAATACTGATGTAGATAATGATTTTACCATTCTGCAGTATTTCGTTTTCCAAGAGGTTTCTGAACATTCTGCACACATCTGTCAATAGTTGATTTAATGAAAACTTACTATGTCAAGTGAAATCTAGGCATTTAAACAACTTTAGTGTGTCTGTCTTTTGTCCATTCATGAAGATATTGATTTTAGTAATATTTATTGGTTGTTTCCATTTTTTTTAAATAGGCTATAACTTGAATACATATTTTAACTCCTTAGTTCTCTAGATACTCGATAAGAGGTGAAATTTTTGACAAAAGACGAAGCAGGCGATAAGAACATTCAAATCGTCCGCAAGAACATATGTGGAATGAGCACCAAGGCAAATGATAAGATCACAATGAAAACATAGAATATATTTAAACTTATCTTTCCGAAAATTAAAAACGTTCATCTGTCCTTGAATCATGAGGCGATAAACTTAAGCAAACCAAGAGGCATACGAAATCAGTTGGATAGGGTGCACTTTTTGAACCAAATGAAATCTAACGCATGGCTGGTTTATTGAGTAAAAACAGAGAATTTATATAACAAGAAGAAAAAGAAAAATTCAAAATGAGCTTTTTTTTAATAGATGTATTAAAAAAAATTATGTTCTTAAATTAACGAAGAAAAGTAGACAAGCCAATATATTGAAAAAAAAACAAGGTAAAAGAGGAACTAATAGACAAAAAAAGGAAACAAAAAACGGCAAGTATTTATATATATAAGAGGATTAGGATATAATCGTCACATGAGTTACCTAATTTGAATTCGAATATAAATGGAGAACTAACTATTTCTTGTGGTTCAAAAATAAATGAAAAACATAGTTTTCCTGAGGGAATAGCAAAAAAAAGAAAAAGTGTCGATGCAACAAATAAAAACAAAAGATATATTTCATATAAATTATAAATTTATAAATCGATTAGCACATCTATGTCAAAGCAACAAAGAAAGTAAACGATAAATTTTATACAAATGACTAATTTATGAATTGAATAATATACTTCTATCAAAACAGCAAAAACAAGCCAAAGATAAAAATTTTAACTTGGATTGGAATTCAAATGCCGATTGCAATTATTCTAACATGAGATGTTCGAGAAACCATGCAGAATATTATAGTAAGCATAGATAATCCTACACTGATCGCCTAAGATACTAAAACCGTTATCAAGAATGCTAATAGCATGACCTGCGATACGACTAACAAGGCTTGAGACACTAGTAGTATCTTCTTGAATAGTACTTGCATTTCAAGTGATGGTATCAACATCTTGAATGATGCTACTAGAGTCCCAACCAAGACTGCTAAAATCCCTGCTAATAGATCTCTCAGAGTTACATTGTTTACAACTATTAGAATTAAAGAAAATGCTAACTTGATGCTGATGCCTTTGTGTTAATTAACTCTAATGCAAATAATGTTGAAGCATCTGTACTAATCTTTAATTCCTAAGCAAAAGCATTAACATTTTGAAACGATGCTAACATGATACTCCTACATTGAATTATTCAACTCACCAAAACACCTTTTGCCCGCGTAACTAACACTTTACGTCAGTGTGACGACATGGAAGAGTATAGCGCTCTCCGAAGAGGAACGACCCATGCTCGTCTCTGTGTACACGGTGATGAGAACAAGTTCAATGCGACTTATAGTTCGAATCATATGAAAATTTTATCTTTTGATTTGCTATCGTTGCTTCGATAGGGCAGTGCTATTCGATTTTTATCTTTATAGTTTATATAAAATTTTTTTTCTTGATGTTGTTTCCTATTTCAACATGAAACTCGATTTTTTTTCTATTTTTCATGTATATTCGAACTTTGATTAGGCATCTACACAATTACAATCAAAAGCGCCATTAGATCCAAGTAACTGTAGGTATTAATCCGAAAGAATATTAACAATGATGGTAACTATAATAACCAATACATTATGAAGGTCCTTCATGGATAATAATGCGTTCTTGATAAGAATCCTCATATTTGTCTTTTTGTAATTTTAATGTTCTGTTAACAATATGTATCAAAACTAAATCATCGAAAATATATATTGGATCAAGTCGATTTTGATCCTAGCAACTATTTGTAAATTTGTTTTGATGCTGAACATTTAATCTGTCATGATCAATGATTAATTTTCTTGACTATTGCCCTTTTCATAGTATCAACTCGGTTTCCTAAACAACACTTTCAATTGCTTTGAATCCAGATGCAATTAATTTTTTCTAGCGAACATAAAATGAAATGGTTGAAATCTTGTTGTTGCATACTTGTTGATGTTCTATGCGTAACTTATAGGTGATAAAAAAACATTCTAATCGTGTATTTGATTAGCAATTAATTTTTATAATACTGACGCAAATGTAACGTTAGATCTTTCTATTTGTGCTTTCAGCGTAGGATGATATCGAGTTGCAAGAACAGAAGTCGTATTGCACGACTCAATCATGGTTTCTGCTAATTCTTCAATGAAATAAGATTCTTGATTAGTAATTAAATTTGCTGGTGCTTCATAATGATGACATACACCAAGCAAAGATTAATCTACTGCTTCTTAAGCTGAATCTATTTTTACTGCTCTTGCAAATACGAACTTGGACAAATAATCAGTCATTGTAATGATATATCAATTATCTCTTGTTGTAGAATGATTAATCGGACTTCAATGCTCTGTGGCTACTAAACCCATAACTTCTAATAAAGAAACAGTACTTGATGAATCATCGATTTAGACAAACACGGAAGTTAAACTTTTGTTGTGCCATGAGAAATTAATTTATATATAATATCATCAGTCATTTCATACGCTTCATTGTTAATTATTTTTTGTATATTTCTTTCTTGAATTTCACAGCTCTTTCTTTAATTATCTCATACTATATTGAGTGTGCACTGAAGGAACTTTACATAAGAGGTTCGATAATGATAATGTTGTATTAATAGTTTTATTTAATGATGCAGAAGAACTTGAAGTCGCATTAGTATTTAATAATGAAAGTGGCATTATT